TAGAGGGAGGACAGACACAGAGCTTCCAGGTCCCTTTCTGAAAGCTGTGGGTGACACAGCCCTACCTTTGTGTCAGTAGATAGAAAAGCCATAAGTATATGTTGCTCACAGTGAGAGCCTCCACTCCTGCTGCCCCGTGTTGGAAGAATTCCTAGAGAGTGATGAGTCAAAGAAAAGCTGAAATACCAATGGCTAATAAACACCTGGGAAAAAAAAGAAGCTCCATACTCTTAACCATCAGGGAACGTAAATTCAAAGTGCTTTGAGACTCCATCCCAACCCAGGTAAGGGACGTGGGGAAAGAGAAATCATTATACATTTCTGATAAGAAGCAAACCAGTATATAGCCACCATGGAAATCAGTATGGAGGGACTTCAAAAAACTAAAAATTCAGCTACTATGTGATTCAGCTAAACTACTCTTGGATCTATGACTGAAGGATTTTAAGTCAGCAAACCACAGAGGTATATTTACATATCTTTGCTTAATGCTACACTAATCACAATAGCTAACATATGGACTCAGCCTCGCTGTTCATCAATAGATAAGTTCATAAAGAAAATGTGAAACATACATACAACGGAGTTTAATTCAGCCATACAGAAGAATAAAATCGTTATTTGCTGGAAAGTAGGTGGGGCCGGAGACGGTCATGTTAGACAAAATAATCCACACACATTTCATATTTTCTCTAGAATGGATGCTGAAGGGGCGAGGGGGAATCTTGAGAGAGGGGAAAGGGAACAAGAAGAAAAGGTTAATGGGAGGAAAGAGATAAAAGGCTACATGTTTTCCCTATGTGGAATACACATAAAATGAGACATGAGAACAGACCATGGAATATTTGGAAGAAGAACGGGGTGCAGCCCAAGGAGGAGAGAGGAGACAGAAAGGATATCAGGGGCGAGTATGAGCAAATTACAATGTTATATATGAGTAAAAATGTCAACATGAAACCTGTTCTTTTGTGTGCTAACTGAAAATGAATAAAAATTAAAATGTTAAAGAAAAGGAAAGCCGACAAATGGGGCAAGTGCTGTATGGACTCCCTCTGAAACTTGAATCAAGCCCCCAAATAAATGCTATTTTTTACAAGTTGCCTTGGCCATGGTGTCTCTTCACAGCAAGAGAAAAGTAACTGAGGCCTCAAGGAAGATAGATAAGGAGTTTGCACAGCAGCTTGCCTTCTGCTGGGCAACTGGTAGATGCTACAGAGTAGTGATCTTCCGACTGGAGTGTAGTCGGGTAAATAAACTCAGTGTCTGTAGATATATCTTTTTACCGGTCTTTTATGAAATATGGTGACTTAAATGACAATGGTTCCATAGGCTCATGTGTTGGAGTACTTAGTCCTCAGTTGGTGGAACTGTTTGGGAAGGATTGGGAGGTGTGACCTTGTTGGAGGAGGTGTGTCACTGAGGGAGGGCTCTGAGGTTTCACGAGACTTTTGGGATCCCCAGTGTATTTTCTGCCTCATGGCTGTATCTCAACATGTGAGCTCTCAGCTCTTCCTTCACTATACCATCATGGACTCGAACTCTCTGGAGCCAAAACCCAAGTTAAATGCTTTCTTTTATAAGTTGCCTTGGTTACTAGGTTTTATCACAGCAATAGAACAGTAACTAAGACATCAGGAAAAAAAAGAAAGAAACTCAATGTTTTTGTTCTGTGGTGTTCTGGAAAGACAAACTGAGGTGTTCAGTGTTCAGTTGTAGCCATCAATTGTAGCTGGTGATTTCTGTGGTGTGCCCCCTTAGGACTGATTGAAAACCAGTAGCATGACATCCTTGAAGCAGGTCCTGGATGGGATCAAGGACCCTGGCTCCACCTGGCAGTTCCAACTGGCCCCTAGTTCCAGAGAGCCCTGTCACTGGACTCCAGGCTGGCTAAGGTAATCTCCAAGAGCCCTTTGGGAGATTTTCTGTGCTGCTGAGTCTGAGAACCATTGTTTATCAGACTTTAACCTGCATTATTCATCATCTGGGGATCTTGTTAGAATGCACGTGTTGACTCAGTGGGGGCTGTTGGTCCCTCTCAAGGGAAATAGTGGACTGAAAGAAAAAGTGGTTGCTCATCCACCCCTGTCTGCAATGTTTGGGAGAGTGGCTCACCACAAGTGTGAATTATTCATGATTGTTTTGCTTTTTAATTTGCGTTACATGTCAAAGTCATAAAATCTGTGTTTGCAGCCTCTCTGGGAAGGCAGACATAACAGTTACAACTGAAGAGGATGTGACAGTACCAGGCAGCCACCCTGCCCTTCCAGAAGCAGCTGCTTTTTGCCATCATCCCCTCCTGGTGAGCTCCACATGGATGCTTTGCATTTCCTACCACCCCCTATGACAGGTCTTCATATTTTTGGCCTTTACCCATTTCCTTCCCCAGTTGCAATGACTTACTTTTCTGTATATTCCCATTATTCCCCATTTCATATATTTTCTTGAAATGCCTTATTCAGCCTTCTTAAAATACAGCATTTTTTTTCTCCCCAAACTACAGAGTGCTCCCAGACATCCTTCTCTGTTTAGACACCCCTTCCTTGGGGTGTGTTCCAACAACAGATGGATCTTCATCTATTACATTTTAATTTTGTTTGCTTTGGGGTCTCTTGTGTTCTCTGAGACCACAAAAGGACCACAGGCTTTATTTACTTTTGCATTCTCAAGATGATACTTAGTCATATAGGAGATTTTTCAATAGATTTGTCAAGTAACTTATGAATTAATTTTCATCTTTTACATTCTTGTGAACGCTCCTTTGATGACGTATGATGGCAGTTTTGCAATTATTATTCTTTTTTTTTTTTTTTTTGGTTTTTCGAGACAGGGTTTCTCTGTGTAGCTTTGCGCCTTTCCTGGAACTCGCTTTGGAGACCAGGCTGGCCTCGAACTCACAGAGATCCGCCTGGCTCTGCCTCCCGAGTGCTGGGATTAAAGGCGTGCGCCACCACCGCCCGGCGCAATTATTATTCTATCTATAGCATGCAAGTTAATTCACTCCACACCTGTCTGCCGGTCTTTTTCAGGCTTTTTCTTCTCATCTGAACTGTGATTTTGCTGTTGTATACTCAACTTATAGACCATTATTTATCTGGTCCTGTATAAATGTAAGCAACCTCCAACTAAGCAATTCTTAATAGAATTAATCATATACTTTCACAGCATGATTTCTCTCTCTCTCTCTCTCTCTCTCTCTCTCTCTCTCTCTCTCTCTCTCTCTCTCTCTCTCTGTGTGTGTTTTGTTTTTGTGATCTAGGCTCTCCTTTTGCAAATTCACTATGTAGCCCAGACTTGCCAAAAACTTGCAATTCTGCTACTGCCTCCCTACATGCTAGATTACAGGTATGTAACCATGCCTAATGGGACCAGTTTTTTCAAAGCACTTTTATGTTTTCTCGTACTAACCCTACAACACAAATGTGCAGCACATTACCACCTCTTCAGTGTTTAGAAGCTAAAGTGAAATGTCTCCCATAAAGCCGAAAGCAAAGAAAACAGAAGCACGAGGTTAACCATGGTTGTTCCTCCCAATGTCCTCTGCACAGGGCCCACCCTGGGAACCACACCTCACTCTGACTGTGGGCTAATGATCTGCTCTACTCCACTTGCAAAGTTCTCTCCTCCTCAATACTCTGTTGAAAAACTGCAGCTCCGATAGGCCCAATTATCATACAGTAGAGCTCAGGGGCAATCTCTTCTTTAGACTACTACTGAATGATCCCATATTGCTTATGTTCCTTTTCAAGTGGAGTGTAATTGCTTTCTAAATCTGTGTTCAAACACTTAGAAGTAGTAACTCAAGACCTTTCTTCTAGAAGTCCTGTGCAAGGATCCCTCAGGAATTTGTTGAACCTAGTTTTAGAGGTAAATTTTAAATGTCCAAACACGATAATTTCACTAGACAGTGTGAGAAAGTGTCTGGTCTGTGGACCAGTTTACTCCCTTCTACATCATCACCGGCAAGTCAATGCTGCGTGTTCAACAGTTAATGATGTTTTAGAAATGCATGAGATGAGATGAGAGCCAACAACTTAGCATTCCCACCTGCTGAAATAAACACAGTACACATGAGTGGAAGACAGCAGTGGCGAAGAAATAAGTAGATCTCCAGTGGGCAACGGTGGGGTAAAAACACCATTCATGCCTTAGGAAGACAACAGCCAAAGATGGAAATGGCAGGGTGCCGGGGCATAATTAGCCTTCTCTCTTACTTAAAGTCACTTTCTAGGGATTCTTATGTGGTGGCAAGAACACACTGATTTATGAAAATGGGTAGAGGCAGCACACCCTCCCGAGGCGCAACACCGCAGCTGTGAGCACAGCACACAAATGCAGACGTAATCCATGGACACCGCTGTGTATCTGTGGGAAGACTGGAGAGTCTAGTTCCTTATTTTTCTATGTCTACACACTGTTCTATTATCAGTGGCCCCACTTGCCAGGTTCTTTGTGTTTCTGCCCCTCTCCTAAGGAGGGGGGATCTCATCTCCCTGTTAGAAGTGGGTGTGTGTGTGCTTTCTATGGTCCTCCCTACAAGACTCTACCAGTACAGTCTCTACAAAGGACTTGTTCAGGATACTTTTCACTGCAAATAGTATTTGTTGTAAAAAAATGTACAGATCATATATTAACTAGCACATACCGGAACTTATCTGGAAGCCACACATGCAGCTGGTAGGCAAATTTGGAAGTTGGAGAAAGAGAAGAGATTTTTTCTTTAAAAAATAGAGGAACTCTCACCTTGTAATTATGGAAAATGGTTGAAATAAGTGGATGCACAGGTTCTCTGAACTATTCCTCTCACTTCAACCGACGTCTGGATTGCACCATAAAACAACCTCCCACCCCCACCTTTTGTCTCCAAGAAGGGCATAGGATTCAATTTGACAGAGAAATATAAGGAGCTCAGAAGTGTGAATGTAGTGGTGTGGTGTGTGTGTGTGTGTGTGTGTGTGTGTGTGTGTGTGTCCACGCGTGCGCACGTGTAATCACTGTCTTACCACCACGCCACTTGTCGGAGATGTTCTGGAGTATCGTGACCGGGATGCAGAAGAAGGCGATGAGCAGATCACTGAGCGCCAGGGAGCAGATGAAGATGTTGGTGACGGTGCGCATGGCCTTGCTGCGGGTCACCACATAGACCACCAGAGAGTTGCCAAAGAGCGCCAGGGCAAAAATGAGTGCTCCCGCCAGCGCAAAGGCCAGTTTAGCGCGCGCGGGCAGCTCTGGAGTGTAGACCAGCGGCCGCAGCCCATAGCGGTGAATGAACTGCTCCCGAGTCAGGTTGTGCGCGCTCAGCAGCTGGGAGAACTGCTCCGCGGTGATGTTGAGCGCCTGCATGCCGAGCCTGCGCTGCCTGCTCTGGCTGATCCAAGTCTAAGTCTCTGACAGAGCAGAGCTTAGGCGGAGTGAGGCGGTGCCCAGACATAACACACCAGCGGGAGCAGGGGGCGGGGCCAGGCAATCTCGCCCACGAGGGTTTGAAGTTCACAAAAGTTCTGCGATGCGCGGGAAGGTCTGAGCCCGGTGCCCCTGACTTTGCGGTCTCTGGGCACTGCCCAGCTAGTAGTCAGCTTGCATCCTCAGGTCTGGAGAGCCGCCTGGGGCTGGAGAGGGTGGGCGGAGCCCTCCATCCACCTGCTGCTGTCAGATCCTCTTAGCTCTTGGTCTTGTTAGATTGAAACTGGAGATTTGAATTTTCCACTTCTCATCGAGTCTCCTCATGAGAACTAAGGTGAGCCACATATACCCAAAGCAATGAAAACAAATTATGCAAGAGGAAGTTGCAATGATAGCGGAGTGGTCCCTGATATCCTTCACTCCACTTAACTCCACTGTGTCTTAATATTCAGCAACACAGATCCAGGAACTTGTCAACGTGTGTGTGTGTGTGTGTGTGTGTGTGTGTGTGTGTGTGTGTGTGTGTGTGTGTGTGTGTGTTTGTGTGTTCTAGCCTTAGCGACCACTGACCTTCCCATCCAAAGTCACGCTCTACTGACCCCTACCTGTTTATTTAGCGATTGGCCAATTGCTGGGTATTTCGGTCATTTCAGGTGTTGTTAGATTACCTAAGAAACTGCTACGGATGACTTGTATATTTAATTTGTAAGCAGACCCCCGAGGTATTTCCCAAAGGTTCAGTTCCATTTCACATTTCTATTGACAATGAGTGAGCTTGAATTTTACTCACATCCTTGCCAGCCTTTGGTTTTGTTAGTATTTATTATTTATTTGTGTGTGTGTGTGTGTGTGTGTGTGTGTGTGTGTGTGTGTGTTTCCTGCACGTGACCATGCATGTATGAGGAGGCCAAAGCAAAAGTAATCGGTTTCTCTATCACTCTTTGACTTAATGACTTGAGACAGGGTCTCTGCTGACCCCTAAGGTTGCTGTGCTGGGTAGGCTGACTGGCAATCAAGCTCTTGGGATCCCAAGGAGGGGTGGTACGCCTGAAACCACAGCATGGGGGTAGCATGGGGGTGGGGTGTCGTACCCAGGCACGCCCAGCTGCTTATGTAGATGCCGTGGTTTTAAACTCTGGTCCTCATGATCGCACAGCAAGCTCTCTAACCCATACAGCTGTCTCCTCAACCCCATCAAAGTGTATAGCTAACATTCTAGCTGTGCCAACAGATGTGTAGTGATGTCAGTGGGGTCATTTGCACTTTCCAAGGGCTCAGTGACACCGAGTTTTCTTGTACTACTATCTCCTCCAGAGAAATGTTTGCACATGATTTGCCTATTTTCTAATTGAACTATTTATATGCGTTTGGGGGCTCATTTAGATTCTAGATTCAAGTTCTTTCTCACGAACGTGGTTTGCAAATATTTTCTTATAGTTTGTGGCTTAGCTATTTTCTTACCAGTATCTTTCCCAGAATGAAACTTTAAATTTTATTGTGTTAATTTTGCTTTGACTTTTGTAGTCTATATCTAGTTATTCATTTTGTTCTTTGTTTTCTACTGATTAACTTTTAAATTTAGCATATCGAGAATGGGTTTCATTATGGAATTTTCATAAACATCTGTCTTCATATTTTTTCTAATTCACTCCCCTCCATCATTGCCTTCCTACATCCCTCACTCTTTTGTCTCTTCCTATCCACAGAGATCCCCTTCTGCTTCCATGTCGCATGAATTTCATTAGCTTCTTTACTCTCCCCAACTCTGAAGATCTCTGTTGCCCTCTGCCTTCTACTATCATGACCCCCACACATATTCACACACCACACACACACACACACACCACACACACACACCACACACACACCACACACACACACACACACACACACACACACACACACACACACACACACACACACACACATACACACACTCCTGTGTATGGAGGGAAACATTCAGTACTTCTGAGTCTGGATTATTTTGTTTAGCAAGATCTCCTGTTCTGTTCATTTTCCTGAATTTTCATTTTCTTTTTCTTTTCTCTTTATGGTTAGAAAAACTCCATTTGTGGATTTGTATTCGTTCCAGCCAAGGATACGTTTTTCCTTATTCATTCATCTATTGATGACCATTTAGGTTGGTCCCTGAATTTTTTGTTTTGTTTTGTTTTTTCCACTTAATTTCTATCTTCATGAGTTCATTGTTAGTGTACGGAAAGGCTGCTGATTTAGGTAAGTCAGTTTTGTATCCTGCTACTTTGCTGAAAGTGTGTATCAGACTAAGAGTTTCCTAGTGGAGTTGTTAGGTTGTTTTAAGGATCCTGCCATCTGCAAAAAGCAGTATTTGGACTTCGAACTTCTCATTTGCATCCTTTTTATTTCTTTTTCTTGTCTTGTTGTTCTAGCTAAGATTTTGAACACACTTAACACTCTTTTACCTAAAATGACAATTCTCCTCAGTGCTCCCCAAAACCTCTCATGAAGGTGTCTTCCAAGTGAGTTGGAGATGTGGAAGCAATCCCAGCACTTAAATCTGTAAGTTAGAGGACCTACCTTTGTGTTTTCAAAGGCTCCTGGGTTTTCATCAAGCTGCCATCAATATGGGGGTTTTCACCTGTACTTGGAGACCTACTTTAAATTCAGTTGGCATTTACTCCACATATCCTATAGATTTTTGCCTTATGAATACACATGTTGAAGTGGCATGTAGTCATCATTGTGTGTTGTCTCTCTGTGCCAATGACTGACTTGTTTTAAGGGTCACTCTCCAAATAATGATGCAAGTATCCTGACTTCTTTTGATTAGTGTTTTTCTGGCAAGTCTTTTCCACTCTTTTACTTTGAACATAAATTATTATTATAGTTTTAAGTGAGTTTCTTTCTTTCTTTCTCCCTTCCTTCCTTCCTTTCTTTCTTTCTTTTTGAAACAAAGGTTGCATTTTTAAATATAAAGTGTATACATACTCAGAATCAAGTGTGGATGTAAGAGAAGTACATTATAGATGTTAGATGGTAGGGTTTTTTTGTTTTTGTTTGTTTGTTTGTTTGTTTTGGGGGAAGAGGAGAGGTGGAGGAAGGGCTGGGAGGAGAGAGGTGAAAAGAGAGGAGAAACTGTGGTTAGGATGTAAAAACAAACAATAAATAGATAAATAAATTGAGTTTCTCATATACAGCATACTTTTGGATCATGACTGGTTTTTTTTTTTTTTTGCTCCAGCCTGTGAATCTCTGTTTTTTGATAATACATTTACATTTAATGTGATTACTGATAAATCAGGATTTCAGTATATACATTGTTTTCTCATTAATTTATCTTATTTCTTTTCTCCATCTGCCTTTGAGTTATATAAACATTTTAACAACTTACTTAGGTTTAATCTTTAGTAGTTTATTTATTTTGTGTGTTTCTTTACATGCCCTTAGGGCTGAGTTCTCTCGGTTATTTTATTATCTGTAGCTAATTTACCACAGTCTACTGGTGCCAATATTTGCCCAGTTGAATCAAGTGTAGTTATCTTACCTCTTTTTCTGTCCCCTTAATCTTGTCTAAATTTATTATCTTAAATACTGCCTCTACATTTAGAATAATAACGGTCATTGTTTTAACTTTATCTTCAACTGTTAAAAATAAATCAGGAATATAATGGTCATTGTTTTAACTTTATCTTCAACCGTTAAAAATAATTCAGGGATGGCCGGAGGAAAGTCTAGTGTGTTTACTCATGCATTATTCTCTCCTGTTCTTTCTTTTTTACTGATGCTCCTTCCTGATAATTCCTTTTCCGTAATTCTCTCTGACTTTATAGGGTATCCTTTTTGAGATGCAGACAACAAAATCTTTTTTTCTTTACCAGGTAATGTCTTGATTTTCCTTTTATCACTGAAGAACATTTTCAGTCTATATAAAATTCTGAAAGATTTGTTGGTTTTTGTTGTTTGTTTTTAGTTATTTTCTTTTCCAAATCTTGAAAAATAACCACAACTTTGTCTTGTCTTCCACGGTCTCTAAAGTGAAATCTATTGCCATTCAAATGGTTTCTTCCTAGATGCATAAGGTGCTATTTCTCTCTTGCTGTTATATCAAGACTTCTTTGTTACCTTTGATTTTTTTTCACATTATGGCAAATCTTTGGCTCATCCTTTGGCATCTTGAATTCTCAAGCTTGTCTTTTACCATATCTGGGAAAATTTAAAATCTTTATTTCTTGACACATGGTTTTAATCCTGCCTCATTCTTTCCTCTGGGATCTTTGTTGTTTTAAGACTACAGATTTTCCTCATTCTTGTCTGCTTGAAGGAAAGACTTAATCTAGGAGATGCTGACAGTTGAACAGAAGTTTATTTAGCAAACAGCAGTACACTCCAGAGGGCTTGGAGTAAGCTGACTCAAGGGTGGATAGGGGCAAGATAGTATGATTTTGTGTTTTTGTAAAAGTTTTTATTAATATTCATGAGGTGGGTGGTTATTCACGGGGTAAGGTGACTTTTAGTGTCTCCCAGGTCATGGTGGAACAGATCTCCCTCTCAGAGTACTTTTTTTTTTTATTTCTACACCTTTATTTCTCTGTATAAAGAGTAGGGAAAGGAATAAAATAAAAATGGCACAGTTGACACACACAAAAAAAACCACATGGTTGGGGGGTCGGAGAAAGGGTAGTGGTGGTAAGTAGATGGGTGAGGGGTCCCTATTACAGCAGCAGGAGCCAGTGACCTAGGATACTCCATCTCTCCCAATATGGGCAGGAACAACCAGCTCTTCCTTTCAGGCTGCTGCCCTGCCCCAACTTGCACTGCCCCAACCCCTTGGGAGGTGAACAGAGAAGTCTTCCCAGGCTACAGAGAGGAGGTACCGTGCTGGGGGAGGGGCCTGGGGTCAGACCATGCACAGGGAGTGACAGTCATTGGCCTCCACCACCTCCCTAAGGGAGGTACTTGGTGGAGGTTGGAGGGTAGACACCAGAGGCCAGCAATGGTTCTTCTTCCAGCATCAGGCAAGAGACAGAACAGTCAGAGCCTCCTGGGCAAAGTACTTGACATCCACATCTTGGTCTTGGGTCAGCTTCTCCAGGATGGGCTTGACTTCACTCTGCAGTGTACTGTTGTCAAGAATGGGTCCTATCTTCTGTAGGGATTTGGCCACATTGAAGCGGACATTGGCGACTGGGTCTCTAGCCATAGGAAGAAC